AAAGAAAGAAAGAAAAGCTTTAAAATACATCGTTGAGAGACCTGTCACTAACAGTTATCATGAACCAAAGGTTTGTGTCTTTGAAATTTATCTGTCAGTACCCTCCCCGCCAACATGACGGTATCAGGAAAGATAATGAAGTCATGAGAGTGGGGCCTTCAGGGACGGCAATAGTGTTCTTGTCAAAGTGATCCCTGGAGGACTGTCTAGCTCGCCTTCTGTTATGTGAGGATATGAGGAGAAGGACCATCTGGAAACCAGGAGAGTGGTCTCAGGAGACACCCATCTGCTTAGACTCTCCAGAACTGAGAAATCACTGTTTGCTATTTAATTCAGCCTGTCTGGGATCCTCTGTTATAGCAGCAGCCTAAGGTGAAGAAGACTGAGGTGTAGGGTTTTAATCCAGTTGGCCTGTAGATACAGCTTTCTACAGAGGGGTTTTTGCTCCTTAGGAGGTCATTTGAAAATGTGGTGGTTTGTTTTGTTTTGTTTTGTTTTGTTTTGTTTTGGTTGTTAAAATAACTGAAAAGTGTTACTATCTTTGTATCATTTTGGTTTTTTTATTTTGAAAATCATCATTATCTATGCATTTATTATGCGGGTGGAGAAGGGGTGCACACAGTCCATGCTGCACATAAGAATATCAGAGACAAGTTATCGAAGTCTGTTCTCTCCTCCTACCATGTGGATCTGGGAATGGAATTTAGGTCATCTAGTTTGAAGGCAAGTGCATGTCCTCACGGAGCCACCTGCCGGCCCATTTTTCCAGGCATATACTACAGTGCTAAAATCTGGTGGTGTGTAGGAAAAGTTCCACCCATGGAAAATGCCTCTGACAAAAACTGATTGTTTTTCCTAAGTTGTTATGACAAAAAAAAGTTGATTCCCTCCCTTGAAAAATTACGAATGTGCAATTATATTTGCAATTCAATATTCAACTGTCAACTTGTTATAGATTGACTGCTGGATGGACATATAGTTGCTTGAGGTTTTCCAGCTGGCTCCAGTCATCACGGTCTGTGACTTGGAAGCAGGCACATAGACTTTGGACTTGAAGATCCTAGAGCACAAAGAACTTACACTAAGTGGTTCTAAGTTCTCTTACATCTTTAATAGTATGTGACATGTTTGAGGGTTTTATTCTTTTACCTTTGAGGCCCAGGATGTCCTGAAACTCATAATCTTCCTGCCTTAGCCTCTTGAGTGTTCCACCTTGTTTTGAGGCAGGATCTCCAAACCTTCCCATATACCCCTCCTTACTCCCTTTCAGGCCATGGCCTCTGTTTTCAGTCGTTGTTGTTACAGGCATATAGGTACATATATATGAATACATATTCCTAAACATGATTTCCATCTTCTACCATTTTCAATATTGAAAATATTTTAATATTTGAAAATATCCCTTCTTCAATATTTAAAAATGTTAACTGTCGAATTCTTTCATGTCCTGGGTTAGGTATATAAATTATAACATATTTGATGTCTTTGAAACAGTTGTGAATGAGATTACTTCTCTGCTTTCTTCTCAGCATGTTTGCTATTGGAATATATAAAGGACATTTATTTTTGTGTGTTAAAGTTCTATCCTGCCACAAAAGTGATGGGGCTGGAAAGATGGCTAAGTGGCTAGGAGCACTGGCTGCTGTTCCAGAAGACCTAGGTTCGATTCCCAGCACCCACATGGCAGCTCACAACTGTCTGTAACTCCAGTTCCAAGGGATCCAACACCCTCACACGAACATACACGCAGGCAAAACACCAATGCACATAAAATAAAAAACAAAAAAGCCTTAGCCCTGACTGCCAATGACTTAAACTTTCAGGTAATGTTATGACTAGAAAGGTATCTGAGAGATTTTGTTTATGGGGTGGGTGGTCCATACTTAAACCATTCCAAAGAAATGCCAGTTCAACTCAATGGAGAGCCCCACCTCCTAGGAATTCATGGGAGCTTCTGCAGTTGCCCAGTTTGTTCATTCTTCCTTGACCTTCTCCTTTATCTAGGGTTCTCTTTTTATTTCTCTGTCCTTTCCAGGGAGGCAGTTTCTTATAGAAAAAAAGTGTTCATGTATGTGACTTTAAGCTCTGTTTTCTTCTTGAACGTTAATGATCCTATTCCCGTAGCACAGGGTCTTGCAGTTGCTCCATTCTTAAATACTGACAGCCCTTTACAGGTGCCCCACTTACTTTGTTGGCTCCCCTAAGATGCTCACCGCATCTTTTACCTATGTTACAGGCACTGGGAAAGCTGCACTCACTAACAGTAATGTGATCCATTGACTGCTGGACAATCCGAGCTAGCAACCCTAATCTGTATCCCTACTCATAGTTTGGTCAGTTTAATGTAATATCTGAGTCAAACAAGCATACTTCCTTTATCTCATATTGCTTCTTGCCTCTTCATAATAAGACAAATGGCAATTAATATAAACTTAATGAATTAAAATGTAGTCAGCACCATATTGATTAAAAGACTAGTGGTCTAATCCCCAGCTCTACTAAATTGTTCACAGATACTGAGCATGTCAGTCACTCTGTGACTTACTCTCCTCATATGTTCAATTAAATAAAGAAAATGGGTTAGAAATGTCTACTTCTGCTTTTCTACCTAAAAATAAAATTGACGGGGCGGTGGTGGCGCACGCCTTTAATCCCAGCACTCGGGAGGCAGAGCCAGGCGGATCTCTGTGAGTTCAA